GTGCCCATATCTTAAGAAGCACATCAACAAACTGGAAAAGGTGCAACTACATGCCACTAAATGGCTCCCAGAACTGAAGGACAAGAGCTACGAGGAAAGGTTAGAGGCATTAAATATGCAAAAACTGGAAGGTAGAAGAAAGAAGAGGTGATATGATCACTACGTTCAAAATAGTAACAGGAATTGATAAAATTGATAGGGAAGAATTCCTGAGACCTGGAACTTCGAGAACAAGAGGTCATAGATTTAAACTAATGAAACAAAGCTGCCGGAGAAGTATAAGAAAATTCACTTTTGTAAACAGAGTGGTAGACGGTTGGAACAAGTTAGGTGAGAAGGTGGTGGAGGCCAAAACCGTCAGTAGTTTCAAAGCATTATATGACAAAGAGTGCTGGGAAGACAGGACACCACGAGCGTAGCTCTCTCCTGTAACTACACTTAGGTAGTTACAGAATTGAAAATCCATCTGCACTTGGTGCATTGAGTGCAAAGTTCCCTTGTTGAGGAAAGTTGACTGCTTCAGAGATTATCACACTCTCTCGCAGTACTAAGTGTGTTAATAGTGTTGTATATAGTCTGTACAGTGTGTAAATAATCTGTAAATGTAAATAATTGAACATGTAATATGGAAAATATGAACAATGTTTTGGATACATTTTGACACATCTAACACAGTTTCTTTGAACAGTACAGATGTTCTACTATGTGAATATTGTGAAACAATATATGAAACAAAAGAAATGCATTTGTAATTGTGTGGAAAAAATGAACATAAAAATATTTGTGGCAACTCGCACATGTTGAATCTGGCGTGTGACCAGCGCCGGGAGCCTCCGCCACGGGCGACCACCAAGCTGTGACATCACACCCCATTTTCTGGACATCACTGCGGCCAAAGTAAGTACATTTGTGCAATATTTTCAACACATATATGTGGTCAGGGGAGGGTATATAACAATTTTGGAAAGGAAAATCAAAATTTAGAATTTATTTTTGGCACATCATGGGGTTTGTGATATTTTTAGGCCTCACAGCACTGTGGTTAAAAGAAGAATAGCGGTAATATGGAATTAGATGGCAGTTTGGTGATCTGATTCTCAGCATTGGCCTTGCTCTGAAATTTTGAACGTGGCAGGCTGAGTGGCATATTTGATCTGTTATTTAAAGGGATCCACTATTTGGAGGTCTGAAATTTTGGCAGTTCTATTGTACTTGGATCAATATTATTACATACAGTACTGTGTAAATTAAAGCTACCAATTTACTTTGTAAAACTTTCACATCTACAGTATCTTCACTTGTAATGTAATGATCACCAAAGGTTATTACGTCTGTTGAGACATTGTGTGGATTTTGAGAAAATACGTAATATTTCAAGTTTGTTTTGGTTTAAATGAGTATTTGGTTAACACTTTCACACTCTCGTAACGTTTACAGCGTCACCAATTTTTCTCTCGAATCCATGCGCAAGACACAATTTGAGTTCAGCAATAAAATATTTGCACAAAATTAAATTTTTATCCGATCGACTTTGGGATAGTTTCAAAATGCGCGCCATTAAATTCTTGTTCTCCCCAATAGGCCACATGGTACCTTGGCCTACGGGTGCACGTGCTCGACCTATTGTTTTGTTGCCACCGTGAATGACCGCATCGCTCTACCCTCGCGTCCAATACTTATGCATTTTTCGGCATTTATATCTGTTCCCGTGTGTTTTCAACCCATTATATACATTACACGATGGATCCTGGTCAAGGGCCAAGCAGTTCTACGTCTAAAGGAGTGAAGGATTCATCAAAAAAGGATAAGATAAGTATACTGTACAAGAAGTTCAGTCGGATGAAGCTCACACCCACAAAGACTCCTGGGTTAGTTGAAGCATTTTCCGATATTGAGTCCGATACCTTGCTCCAGTTTCAAGAGGTGGCAATGTGGTCCCTATTGAAGTGGGACACTGATGAGTGTCCTCTCACAACTAACACCATGGCACATGCTCCTGACATAAATGCTGATGCAACAACTGATGCTGCTAATGTGTCAGTCTCAGGACCATCTGGTGTGAGGCGGCCTTTATTTACTTCAACACCTCGAGGCGAAGACTCCTCATCTGAATCAGAACACGAGATGGGTGTGACAGAACACTCAGACACAAGTCGTCGTCCTCATAAAAGAAACAGACGTATTGTTGATTCAGTAGAGTGTCTCAATAAGAACCTGACACATGCAATCGTTCATCAGAAAAAACGTCTAAAGTGTCATGTTTGTTACATGTCAGGAATAAGGAAGGACTCTAACCTAAAGTGCAAAACGTTTGATGTTGCACTGTGTGCTACACGTGCTACACAAGATACTACCGGAAGAGGGTATTTTGGGTGGAAAAGAAGTAACCACTCGCAACACATTCACTCCACCTACGAAACATCTGTTGAGCAACTTCAGTGACCTTCTCCTGAAGCAGGTGGAGTGGATCACAGAATGCTCAACTTATTGTTCAACCATAATCATTCCCTAGGTAAGTACAAACACTTTGTATAAGTTTTTATAAATAAGATATTACGATTTATACTTTGTTATTGGTATTGATAGAGGTTTTCTTCAATACAGGCTTATATTCATATTTCCATTTAGAGCATTGTATTGTGAATAATTTGATACCACACTGAACAATGTAGCACAAAAACTTCTGTTAGCAAACGGGAAATTTTTGTATGTGTTTTTCGGGTGTACCGGGGTGTGGTTATGGGTGTACTCTAGCAGGTTACACTAAGGAGACTTTGGGCGTTGCTGCAGGTGGGATGCACCCATGATTTGGACTTTATATGCATATGTCCATGTAGGGAATTTTATTGCGATCACACTGATACCAAAATGAACAATGTAGAACAAGTCTAAACTTGACAAACCTGAAAAGAGTAGAAACATGTCATCGGTGTTTGGCGCTCACGGCTACCGATCGACGTAGTTTTTTATTTGGTGCCGGTCTCACGCCTGCTTTGGTGACATTTTATGCATAAGTTCCTCAAGAACATTCTATTGCGAACACATTGATACCAAAATGAAACATGTACATCGAAAATTAAGGTCAGAACATTGAAAAGAGTATACACTTTTCAGTGTCGCCGCTCAATCGCCCGAAACACCAGGAGCACAAGGGCAATGTTTTACGTTCGACCACCGGGAGCGTGAAAGTGTTAAGTACAGTACTATACAGTATGCTGTAGCTTGTACTTCTTATAAAACAAAGCTAATACTTACATGTTAATGTTACTGTTTGGAATGAAAGTCTGTTATATAATGTGAATGCATGTGATATGTTCAACAAATGGCTAATACTGTACACACACAGAACTGGTATTGAAAGTTGTACAGTATTTGTAGAAGAGTGCTACTGTGAGCTTCCAGTATGGGCCAGGTGTTGAAATTTCAAGCGTTCGAGAATATTTTTGTGTATCTCCTGTTATTTTCACAAGTCAGGAAATTGAGCTTGTCAATGTATGGCCGATTGTGTTTTAGCTGAACCTATAAGTTTCTTGATGCTTGGATTTTCAGGATGACTAGAGATCTTGCTCTTCCAATGTCCCTTTCAGTTGCTTGTCCCATGATAAAATCCTCGGTGATTCTGATACTGTACTTTTGACACTATTCATCTTGTGCCCTATTGCTCTCATATTAGCGTCTTGAATGATATTTAGGACTTTTTGACTGTTCTGTGCCACAGATGGTTCTCGGTAGTCTTCTATATTTGGTGCTTTCATTTGTTACTGTAAGAGCTCAGTAATTCAAATTCTGATAACACAAATTTTTGGGTAATCTGAACAAATTCATGTTCATCGTTGTCGAGTGAACAGCAGGTGTAAACGTAGGTAAAACATGAAATTGCGAGAGCAAATTTCAAGAGTATATGAGGTAAATGCTGGGAGTAACTAAGTTGTGGTGCAAAAAATTGCAATTTTGTTCATTTTTTAACATTCCTGGTAAGAAATTTAGCTGATTCAAATGGTCATCTAACTCAAATGGGGCGGGCTCCATATAATTCAGATTACGAAGCATAGACAGTACTTGATGCTTAATGTACTGTATCTAAGGCAAGTAGCAATTCAATCTTGACTTTTACTATCATAACAAAAACTTAAATATAATGTCATTTACTGCAGTTCCCAATGAAAAGCTTTACCTGTTAAGTCAAGTTTTTTATATTTTAAATGTTCTTATGTGTGAAATTTGTATAATGAAATCACCAGAAGGTGATAAATCGATGTTCAAATATTGAGGCCCAACTATGGAGTCGAACCTGTGTAAAGAGTTTAAGAGTTGCGGGCTCAATATTTATTCGTGTGCAGTGTGTTGCTAAACCCCTACATGTGAAGGAAAGCTATATTCTGAATTTGTACTGCAATGCAGTCAATTTTTTTTTCTTTAATATACTGTACCCTGTAATACTGTATACTGTAATATACAGTCCAGCAACCAGGAGTCCTGGTCGACGACCGGGCCGCGGAGACACTAAGCCCCGGAAGCACCTCAAGGTAACCTCAAGGTAACCTCAAGGTAGGTACAGTACCTTGCGGTGGTTCAGAGGTTTAAGGTCCTAGCAACCCGGTCCCAACCAGGCCTCTTACACTGTACAAAGTTCGTGTACGTTGAACTTTGACGCAGAGATAAATATAATGGATGCGTTATTGCTGGTGATACTTTAAAGTGTTGAATACACAGTATCTTGATGCAATAAGATAGGTCCCAGGATGGTGGGGTACTATAATTAGGGAAACTGTGCATCTTTAATGGGACCTATGACGTATCAAGTCTGGTTTGGACGTACTGAGAAAACAATCTTAAACTCAAAAACGGAAATACAAATTAGGGTGGCCCATGGTGTCATAAGGGCCAGAGCCTCCCATGCTGTACTAACAGTTTAACAGTAATCTAGACATTCATTATAATCAGTTTTTACTGTGAAGGATTTACCATATTCCTAAGTCCTTTTGTTTTCTAACTTGCAGAGACGTTACAATAACGGACCAACAAGGAGAAGAGCCGGCAGGAGACTCCGTAGTCTCCAAAACGAACAGTAAGAAAATGGCCCACCAGAAGGCTGAGATCAGTGCCTCGGTTACAGCACTAACTGTTGGTAGTACTGGAAAGAGGACTCGAAAACGGAAAGTAACTTGCAGAGACGTTAGAATAACGGACCATCAAGGAGCAGTTTCGGCACGAGAGACTGCAGTCTCCAAAACGAACAGTAAGAAAATGGCCCACCAGGAGGCTGAGATCAGTGCCTCAGTTACAGCTCTAACTGTTGGTAGTATTGGAAAGAGGACTCGAAAACGGAAAGTAACTTGCAGAGACGTTACAATAACGGACCATCAAGGAGAAGAACTGGCAAGAGACTCCGCATTCTCCAAAACGAACAGTAAGAAAATGGTCCACCAGGAGGCTGAGATCAGTGCCTCAGTTACAGCACTAACTGTTGGTAGCACTGGAAAGAGGACTCAAAAACGGAAAGTAATTTGCAGAGACGTTACAGTAACAGACCATCAAGGAGAAGAGCTGGCAGGAGACTCCGCAGTCTCCAAAACGAACAGTAAGAAAATGGCCCACCAGGAGGCTGAGATCAGTGCCTCAGTTACAGCTCTAACTGTTGGTAGTATTGGAAAGAGGACTCGAAAACGGAAAGTAACTTGCAGGGACGTTAGAATAACGGACCAACAAGGAGAAGAGCCGGCAGGAGACTCCGCAGTCTCCAAAACGAACAGGGAGAAAATGGCCCACCAGGAGGCTGAGATCAGTGCCTCGGTTACAGCTTTAACTGTTGGTAGTACTGGAGAGAGGACTCAAAAACAGAAAGTAGAAAGAAAGTCGATTTGCTCCATTTTAAAGTATGTCGAATTAGAATATCTGGAGAAGACAGGTGAAATATTTCGGTTCTTAAAGTCGAAACATTGTGAAAGCCATGTAGAGATTCTTGAAGATGCTGTTCGTATGTTGTTCTACAAAAAAATGTCTTTGTCTGAAGCTGCCCAATTTTTCTGCATATCACGACAGCGGCTCGAGAGAGTCATGACAGTCCTGTTCTACTTGAAAAAGAAGCCAACTGTCAGTACTTTTTATAAGACGCTAGAGGATGTTATGCAAACAACCGAAAATGACAAATTCATTGAGTGGATGCTACGTATGAGGAAAATGGGGCGTCTGCCCGTATTACAGGACACCCACTATGTAAAGCAGTACCTTGGTCCCTCATGTCACCCAAAGAATGTGTGTAGATTTTTGGGTGAGTTTGGGGAAAAACGCGTGCAATACGAAGACTGGTGTACAATGACAAAAAACAGCATGATGAAATGGGAGGAAATGTTGAAAAACTTCCTGTTCAATGAATATGACATTGTAGCCGAAATGTTCTTGGTGAAGGAAAATTCATCTAGAATTTTCAATTGTGTCGAAATGTTCCTCTCCCACACTCACGTTGCAAATCAGGTTGTTATTCTCCGAGGACACAGAAACATGTACAACTTTGTGTGTCCAAGCCGAAGAGGTATAAGGGTGATGGCGACATTCTCTGCTTCAGGCCTGTACTTAAAACCCTTTTTCCTGCAGAAAGGATATCATATACCATTATGGAATGATCCTGAGTTCATTGACCAGTCTAAGTTTCACACAGGTGCTTCTGGAAATGGGGAGATAGACCCTTTGTTGTTTGTGACGTGGTTGAGACTTTTCAATACAGAACTTGTGGAGCAGGGGATTGAGAAGCCAGTGTTGCTGCTCGTTCATGGGCACCCATGCCATGCAAGTCTGGATGCCTCCACCTTCTGCAAAGAGGAAGGTATAATACTTTACTCTCATTACCATACTCCCCTCAATGTCTTGGATCCTTTCTCGAGAATGTTGAGCAAGTTTTACTTTCATTACGAGAAAAGTTTGAATGTCTTTCAAAACTTTATCGGAAAGGCAAATCTCTCGCTGAAATACTTTCCTATAATATTTCTAGATGCCTGGAATAAAATGAATGATGAAGATCTTGCTAGTGATGCCTTCGAAAAGAGCGGCCTAGTTCCATTTGATTTATCGGTTGTCAGCCAGCATCTAAACATCAATCTTGTGCAATGTCCGAGGTCTGCTTTAATGGCAGAGCCATTACCAATGTTTTCTCAAAAAGTGTTACCAGATGCTGGCCCTCTTCCCTTGGGGAACATATTGAAGGTGTCAGCAGTTTGTGAACCTTTGTTGTTTCACAATTATGCGCGCCCACCTAAAGATCCATTACGAGTGTTCTTCGAACCTTTACTAGACACTAGGCAAAATTCCAGTGATGTTATTCATGTGTATGAAAAATCTGCACAAGATGAACAGGTTATGTTTGATAACGATAGTGTTTTACCTAGCACGAAACCCGTGAAGGACAGTGTTATAGAGAGTAAAGGTTACATTAAAGTGACAAACGTAAACACCGCCACCACCACTGCACAAATAATGACTGCCGTGAAACCCTCGGACATTAAGCTTGAGCAAACATTGTGTGAAGATATTTTACCGAGTCAGTCTTATGAATCTAAGGATGCGTGTTATGTGAAGTGTGAAACTAGTATGGAAGAGGATCTCGACTGGGAAACTATTGAATTTCCAAGGGTTTATATAGTTAATGAAAACTCCACGGAGGAGCATGTGTTGCCCAGCCTATCGTGGGACTCAAGGGAATTAGATAATACAAGGGATGAACATTGTGCTATAAGACACACCACTGACTGTCCGAATTCGTGCAATTGTGAGAAAATTGTGTGTGATGTCAGTGTGCCGAGCCCTTACGATTCCCAAGGAATAGATACCGATGATGATGATGGTAGTGAAGGAGGGCATTCATCTTCAGAAACATTTGAGTGTGTGAATAAGCACATCAAGTGTGAGTGAGCCACATAAGAAGCTTCTTTACCAAGAAAAAAAATTGGAAAGACAATTGAACAGCAGCACTCCGTGACCCAGAACGCCTCGAGTTTCCAGTTACGTTTATTAAAAGTTTAAAACTTGTTACATTTGTATTCAGAAGTTTATGGATATGTTCTGTGATATTAAAGAAATACAGTATCTTTAGAAAATACAGTTGTTTGAAGTTGATTGTATGTTCTGTATCTAGGCATTTGCTAAAGTCATTTCCTTTTGCTGAAGATAAGGAATAAGTGGATCTTGGACTTTACACCAATGATCATTGGTGATAGACATCCCATTGGCAATAACAATCGTGCCGAATGGTAGCAACAGCTGAGCTGAACATGCAACAACACCTGAACACCACAGATAGAGTGGAAAGGTGAGCAATTGAAGAATCGACCAGAAAGAGACGTTCCGTTACATTGAACGCTGACATTTTTGCTAGCGTTCAACACGTCAATGTATCTTGTGACAAGGGAGATGAAGAAGTGGTAAAATATGGCATCCGAGGGATGCCATTATTTGTCTATACTGTACAAGCCAAGGAAGAGCGTGAAAGGGCGTTCACACGTGGTCATGTCCCCGAATTCCGTGCCTGAGGAAGATTGTGCTCATTTGTCTGTGTGTAGGTCTCACCAACACGATGCATAGGTAGGTGCTGATGGGTGGTCCTGCTCCTATCTGTTAGTGTCAGTGCTTCCCATAGAATTTGTAGTACTGTATTGTACATTGGGAGATTCAAACATAAATACAGCATGGTTGTTGAGGATACTATATCTGCTGTCTCGTTTGCTAGGAAGTGATGCTTCTTTGCCAGTGCATGGGTACAGTACAGTACTGTACCCATATAACTTTCTGTCGAGGAGGCTGGCCTCCTCCCCTGAGTGTATAGTCCCGGTTACGGTCTCTCTACCCCTGCCGTATTCTTATCTTTGTTTCTCCCATGCTGAGGATTTATTTTTAAACGTTTATATTTCGGGTAATTTTATCGCTACTTGTCAACATTTGCATTTCTTAATTTTAACTAATTTAAAATTTTATTGTATTGTGTTTTTTGATAAAAAAATTTATTTGGCCATGTTCGTAGAGTGACAAAGAAATTATCATACAAAAACAATTTTGTAACTTGTCAACGGATAATATAAAGATTGAACAAATACTTTTTTGTCTCTAGTGTATGGGAATAAGATAGCTCGACCCCTGATGTAGTCAATAAAAATATTTTTATTTGTGTTGTAAATGTCAATATAAATATCCTGAACCCTGCTGTAAAAGCCAATAAAATTATCTTTACCCCCTGCCATAACTGTGTCAATAGCTCTGGCACTAGAAGTTGGCAGCAATACCTCTGCCATAGAAATCGTTAAATAAAAATAATGAATAAAAAAAAAATTCATTAAGAGCCGTGATGAGGATTCGAACCTATGCTCTGGGAATGCAAGTTCCTACTAATGGGTAAGCAAATGCAAATTCTTGCTGATTTTCTCATCTATACATCATGTTAATGGGATTTCTCTGTGCACAAAAATTAATGTTATAGTAAATCCAAATTGAAAATTTGTGTAACACTGAAACTGAAAAGATAAAAATATTTGAATATGTTGCATGTTTGTTGCAGCAATCAATATCTTAGAGCTGCATATGCCTGTGATTCTTTGTTGTGGAGCCCTGTGTGGCTCCCTAAAGCTATCTCTCGTGGCTGACTCCCATCTTCTAGGTCACATCTGGCTAGCTCCCATCTGCTTGGTCACATCTGGCTGACTCCCATCTGCTTGGTCACATCTGGCTGGCTCCCATCTACTAGGTCACATCTGGCTGGCTCCCATCTGCTTGGTCACATCTGGCTGGCTCCCATCTACTTGGTCACATCTGGCTGGCTCCCATCTGCTTGGTCACATCTGGCTGGCTCCCATCTGCTTGGTTACATCTGGCTGGCTCCCATCCACTAGGTCACATCTGGCTGGCTCCCATCTGCTTGGTCACATCTGGCTGGCTCCCATCTGCTTGGTCACATCTGGCTGGCTCCCATCTACTAGGTCGCATCTGGCTGGTTCCCATCTACTAGGTCACATCAAATTGTGGAGTTGTTTGGCCTACTGAGGATCATAGACCCGAACCTAGTGCCCCTCATAGAGGTGCAGAAAAGTGATACTCCACTGTTCCGCCAGGGAAGCATGCAGAAAATCAACGAACCAATACAGACCATTGCTAGCTTCAAAGAACGGAAGACTCAAAATTGCCAAACGAACTCCTCAAACTACTGTATGTAAAGGAAAAATTAAATCTCTAGCATGAGCTCATAAGCCTCTTTTTAACAAATATTAGCAGTACACAACAAATGGAATGCACTAGGAAGTGATGTAGTGGAGACAGACTTCATACACGGTTTCAAATGTAGATATGATAGAACTCAATGGGCTCAGGTACCTGTACACCAGTTAATTGATGGTTGAGAGGCAGGACCAAAGAGCCGAAGTTCAATCTCCACAAGCACAACTAGTTGAGTACCAAAACACCACCGGTAGTGGTGAAGGAGGACAGAGCTCAAGGTCTCCTACAGCCTTTCAAGCCGTTACTGATGTGTTTGCTGACAGTCATCCACCGCAGGGCTCCCGGATCATCAACCAGTCAGAGGGGGGGGGATCCACTGCCTATGTTTGGTTCTGTCTATGATTCCTTAGTCCTTGCCTATGTTTGGTAGTTCGCTCTTTAGAGACCAGACCACACCTCGAGGTACCGTATAGCCCACACCTTGTACCTGAGGTACGGGGGTGTGGGCTGTACCTTGGATGTTAGGGATCTTTGGTCCTTTCCTCTAGACCCGTGCTTGAAGGCAACCATTACGGCTGGCTGGAGCGCACTGGGGCTTCTCATGCTCGTTTTACACAGCACATACAGGTCAGCCTTTACAACTGCATTGCCCTGGCTGTGTCAGGCTACATATAATTCCCAGTGAGTGACCACCAGTAACTGGGTTTGTCAGTTGGTGTTTGTTGCCTTCACATCTGCTCCAGAATGACTCTGAAGGCTGAAGGGTAACCTGCAGCTCTGCCTCAACCCCCTACATTGTTAAGGGAGTTCATATGGCAGTTTTGAGGCTACAGTTCTTTGAACCCAACATTGGTCTGTGATGATTTGTTGACTTTCTGGATGCTCTTGTGATGAAGTGTCATCTGCTCTCTGCTTCTATGAGGGGACCAGGTTCTGGTTGTGTTCCCCAGCAGGCCAAACAGAACTCTGTGGCTGATATAACCTAGTATTTGGAAGCCATCTCAGTGAGATAACTTCAGGGAACCACTGGGGCTCATCTGGAAAGAGGCACTTTATTACGTTACATTCGGGCGTTTTTATAGCGTTTGATAAATCGTCATTGACAATAGGGGTACTTGTTTTGTGAGGCACTGTAATGGATCCGTTGGTGTAGCATTAATTCCACCTTTAATATACCATCTTGCAGTTGCTCTGGAAATGATCTTTTTCCTTCAAAGGTAACTTCTATTTGGCGTGATTCTTCTCAGTGGGTCCCAGCCTACAAATTTGACCCAAGTCTTCACACTGATTAACAGGTTGTAGATACTCTTAACAAAATTTTACTAGCCATTTTTCACTGGAGCAATGGCTAATTTCTCGTGTTTTCCAACTTGCAGGAGTGTTACAGTACACGAAGTTTATGGTGAAGAGGAAGAAGCGGGGGACATCGTTATCTCTATATTGGATAATGAAATAGAGGGTCCCCAAGAGACAGAAATCAGTTCCCAGGTGACAGCATGGTCCATTGATAGAAATGAAGACCTGGAACACCCAGAGAGCAGCTTCACAAAACTAACCGAAGAGGTGGGAGAACCAGAGCCAGAGACCAAAAGAACGTTGATTGTTGTCAGAACTGGGGGGAGGAAATTTCCAGAGACCACAATACCATTACCTAGAGGAGGGGTAATACTCAACGTATTGAAGTTCGTAAAGAAAGATTTACCACTAATAATAAATGAGATATTCAGAGAAATGAAGATCAGATATAGTGACTGCTGTCCAGAAATTCTTGAAGCTGCTCTACGGAATTTACTCGCCCAGCAAGTTACGTTGCCACAAGCTTCAGAATTTTACTGCATGTCAGTAGAGCGACTGCAAAGGAACGTGGAAATTCTGAATCGCTTGAAGAATAGAACCAGTCCACAAATGTTTTACAGTTCATTAAAGCGTATAATGCATACCAATTACAGTGACAAATTCTTTGAATGGATGCTGCGCATGAGGAAGATTGGACGACTCCCTGTATTAAATGACATACACATGATAAAGCAGTACCTTGATCTTTCTTGTTACCCAAAGGGTGTCGAGGAATTTTTGAGGAAGTTTGGCGAGAAACTTTTACGCTCGGGAGCTTGGCGTACGATGACAAACTACAGCGTATGGAGATGGACGATGATGTTTAGGAAGTACCTGTTCAATCATTATGGCATAGTTGCCTCAAGGTTCATGGTAAAGGAAAATGCATCTCGAATCTTTAATTGTGTCGAGTTGTTCCTCTCGTTCACTTGCATCAGGAATCATGTCATCATTTACCGAGGAAACAGAAATGCGTACAGCTTTGTGTGCCCAAAAACTAGTGGCATAAATGTGATGGTGACGTTCTCTGCTGCAGGTGTTTACCTGAAGCCATTATTTCTGCAGAAGGGATATGGTACGCCAGCATGGAATGATCCCGAGTTCATCGACCAGTCCCAGTTTCATACCGCTGCCTCTAAAACTGGGATGCTAGAACCCTTATTATTCTTGACCTGGTTAAGACTTTTCAACAATGAACTTGTGGAGCAGAGGATTGAGAAACCAGTGTTGCTGCTCGTCCATGGGCACCCCTGCCATGCAAGTTTGGCCGCCTTCACCTTCTGTCAAGAGGAAGGTATAATACTTTTCTCTCATTACCATACTCCCTTTAATCCTCTGGATCCTTTCTCAAGAATGCTGAGCAAGTTTCACTCTAATTACAAGAGAAGTCTGAATGTCCTTGAAAATTATATAGGAAAGGCTAATCTCTCCGAGAAATGCTTTCCGGTAATATTTCTCGATGCTTGGAAGAAAATGGAAGACGATCTTGCCATTAAGGCCTTTAAAGAGAGTGGTCTTATTCCATTTAACATGCCTGTTGTTCCACTGTTTTCAAAAGACAAAATCTGGCAGTCTATGAATTCTATTGAAGTACCATATCCATTAAAACTGTGCCATGGAACAAAGCCATGTATTTCCAGATCGACATTTGAAAGGGTGCCACAGGTGGAGCTGCCATATGAATGGGAAATACTGACTGTCCCGGAATCTTCAGTGAATAGTCCTGATCTCCTTGTAGCAAACGATCCTTTGGAAGTATATTTTGAACCTCTGCTGCATGGTGACAATGGTCATAAAAATATTGTCCATGTGTTTGGAAAACCCAAGTTGGATGAGCAACCAGTAATTCTTGATAACGATAACAGTTTAACCGAGGTGAGAGTGAAGGAGGAGGACGACTTGACTACTGAATGTAAACATGACATTGTTGTGATGAACCAAGATATAAACCCTGGCTTATCTGGTTCAACACTACCCACAGCTCCTGAGAACACAAGCAAGGCAACAGTGAAGACTCCAGTTGATATTTCAGATAACAAAATAGT